TTATTATTTTTTATATTATTTAATATCAAAAATATATATTAATTACATATTTAACCTATATCCTAAAAACACAAATTCAATAAATTCAATTTAATCCATGTATATAATTTTTTTTTATTATTTGTTTTTAAAACACAAGTTAAAAATATTTTTTTAATATTAATTATTATTAAAAAAATAAAATTTAATATTAATTTAATTAATCATCTAATAAAATAATACATATAATGTTAATGATAAAATTAATATTAATTTTTATTATTTTTTATATTATTTAATATCAAAAATATATATTAATTACATATTTAACCTATATCCTAAAAACACAAATTCAATAAATTCAATTTAATAATTAAAGGTACAAACTTTAATAGCTCTTAATTAAAGATTTCAATTATGACTTTTACGGCCCAATAGTGGATTTCAATATTAGATGATGTAAAAATTATTTATATAAGAAAGTTTTATTAGTGCTTTATTTAGTATAATTAATAATTTTAAAAAGTTTTTTTAATCTGTATTTTTAGGCATAAATTAAGAAATATAATTAATTTATTTTTATAATTAATTTATGTGAAAAGAATAAATATTGATTTTAAATTAATTAATTAATTAATTAAAATCATTCACAAATTATTGATATTAAAATAAATGTCAAATTTTATAATTTTTTATATAAATTAACTAAAAAAATAAATTCATTATACTTTTAATCTATATCTTCAAAGCAAAATTCAAACAAATTTATTTAAAATATTAAAAAAATTAAAATTTTAAAATTCACTTTTTCTCTTTGTTTCCCATATGTCTATCTTCATTTTCAAGGTCCGGATAATATTATGGATTCCCAACGGATAAAAAGTCAAGGTAAGCTTTCAGATAAAATATATATAATATATATATTTCAAAGTGTTAAGGGCATAAGATTTGTAAAACTGATAGGTTTCGACATAAAATTTATGTTTAAATTAAAATTAATTAATAGTAGATAAAGTAATTTTTTATATTTAATTTATATTTTTTTTATTACATTCTTGATATAAGATTTGATATAAGATTTATCTGTTTAACAACATTAACATTCCTGAGAAAAAAATAAATTTAACCAGAGACTTAACATAGGAAGCAATTCAATCAATAATCGGCCAGATCAATTGAAAACTATGCGTGATTTACAAATATATAAATAAATATAAAACAAACGAATTTATTAATTCAAATAAAAAAATCTTGATTCTTTTCACATAAAATTTTAAGTTTGAATTTTATAAATAAAGAAATATATTTCGAAAAATCTTTTTTTTTATAAGGTTTGATGAGTTCAACTATAAATTAATCAAAAATTAATGTAATTTTTGAAAACTAAGAGATTAGTAAAAAAATAAATAAATAAAGTAGTTAAATTTTTTGACGATATAGAAAATGGTAAATGCAAATGGTTATTCTTTACCTATATTAATTTTTTCCTAACAAGATAAATAAGGTAATACTAGCATTTTTTTTTTATTTTTTGGGAAAAGCAAAGAAAATAAGGTGCAAGTTCCCATATGGTTCAATAGTGATCACGCGATCCTTTGGCAACAAGTGAATTGCATTCATTTTTTAGCATAACAGATATTAACACTTATCTTACTGTTTTTTACTATATAAAAAAAAAAAAAGTAGTTCTTGCTAATCACCATAATAACTCCTAGTTCTAGGTTTTAGTCATCTTCTCTTAACTCTTATCTAATTATAAATTTGATAAAATTAATTAATTAAACAAATACATATATAATATTTCACTGTTTTAAAACTTGGATAGAACCAATTGGGAACCAGAATTCGCTATAAAAACAGTTCGACTCATGATATAAACTCAATTTGCAGTGTGAGTTTGTTAAAGTAAGTCAGATTCAGTCAGAATTTGAGAAAAATGATCAAACTTGTTAATTTTTGAGCCGATTAACCATCTAATTTATAAAATTTTGAATGCCTTTTAATAAGTTTATGTGAAGGGATTAAAACCCCACTCCAATGCACTTTTTAAGTTTTTAATTATTGAGTCACTAAAACCATTGTTGGCATTTTTAAATAAAATATAATATAATATAATATTTTTAATTACTTCATTAAAATTAAGAGTGCATTTATGTAATTTTTAATAATTAATTATTTTTTAAATCAACATCATGTTGATGATTTTAATTGTGTATTTAATAAATTAAAATTAATTTTTATTTTTTTATAAAAATTAATTATTAAAAAGCACAATAAATGTAAAAGAACATGGTAGAAAATTTTTTGCATAAAATAAAATATATAAATTAGTTAATTTTAAAAACAAAATAATCAAATTAAAATAATTACCTTTAAATTCAAATTATAAATCATATTACTATTTTAAATTAAACTTTTGTTTTTAAGATTTAAAATTTTTTATTCAATAAAATCATAAATAATAATGATAATGATTTGATAAGATTTTAAATTTTAAATTTTTAAACATTAAATAAAATTTAATTTAATGATATTTTTTTTTGTTTTCTTTTTATTTTTTTATAAAAATGGTTTGAAATTAAAAGATTTAAATTAAAATTTTTATTTTACTTTTATAAAATTATTAATTATTACATTTGATTTTTAATTATAAATAAATTAAAAAAAACTAAAATATTAGCAATCAAAATTATTAAGTTTAATAATTTAATATTTATATAATTATTATATATTTTAAAATGAAGTCTTATTTTTTTATATAATTAGTTAAATCAATTAATTAAATTAATTCAATCAATTTAACCAGATCCGGTGCGCAAGACGGGTTAAGCACCGGATCGATACTAAAAATATTGTAATATTTTGTGTGGCGTAATTATTATATCATGTGACGATCACCACGATGGCCTCAATCATATTGCGCAACGCAAAAATAAAATAAAAGTGGTTTATATATATCAGAAAGCTGGACCCACGGCTCCATTATTTAATTTTAGTCTCCCGTTGACAGAGAAGTATTTGGCTGTATCTGATAAAATAGAATTCGAAAAATTAAGACATCGTGATATGTGATATCAAGACGTTTTATTACAGCCATCCATTGAATTATTTTTAATTAAGAGCTCATTTAATGAATAGTTATTACGATGGATGTCCTGACACAAAACACCTTGATTTTCATTTTTTTGTTGATGAAAAACCAAAAGACATGGAGATTTCAGATTTGCAGCAGAATTCAGAAAAATAAAATAAAAGTGGTTTATATTTTATCAGAACGCTGGACCACGGCTCCATTATTTAGTCTCCCGTTGACAGCGAAATATTTGGCTGTATTTGATAAGAAAACAAAAACATGTGGAGATTTCAGATTTGCAGGGTGGGTGGGGCATGTGATGAAGACATTTCAGCTCTTCAAAGAGACACAGTTTGACTCTAAAGTCCAAAGTCTTTAGCAAGACCTCTTATGGTTAAATTTAATTTTTTATTTATTAATTATTATTTTATTTTTTGTTTTAACCTAAATAACTTAATTTTTTTTAAATTTATCTATAAATTACAAAAAATCATTTTAAATTTATCAATTTAGCAAATTTCTGTTAGTTTTTTTAACGAAATCTTATGGCATGTTATGTGGCACGAGACATATGCAATTTTGAAAAAT